AAGTTGTGGTAATGGAATGGAATGCTATTGTGCTATAAGAAATGATAAGCAGGCAGACTTCAGAAAAACCTGGAAAGATTTGTATGGACGGATGCTGAGTGAAGCGAGCAGAACCAAGAGAACACTGCACACAGTAACACAACACTGTGTGATGATCAACTATGATAGACTTAGCTCTTCTCAGCAATACAAGGATCTAAGACAACTCCAAAAGACCCATGATGGAAAATGCTGTCCACATCCAGAGAAAGAACTTTGGAGTCTGGATGCAGATGGATGCAGACTACTTTCACTTTTGTTTTTTGTTTTCTCTCCCATCGTTTTTTTTGTTCTGATCCTTTTTTCACAACATGACTCTGTGTGTGTGTGTGTGTGTGTGTGTGTGTGTATAAGAGTCAGACACAAATGCAAAATGATGAAATAGCAACACCCTGTTCCAAGTCTTCAGTTTCTTCATCTGAAAAATGAGGTGGGATTAGAGGATCTTTGACATCTCCAGCTCTACCAGTCTATGATTCTTTGATTTATTCTCCCTGTTTTAATGACAAAGTGGATTCTGAATAAATGATTTTCATTTAAATGACTATCCCCCCCCAAAAAAAAAATAATGAGCAGGATGGTTTCAGGAAAAGCTGGGAAGACATATATGAACTGATGCAAAGTGAAGTGAGCAGAACTAGAAGAAAACTGTATACAATGACAGCAATATTGTATAATGATAAATTGTGAAAGACAGCTATTCTCAGCAATATAATGACTTGTGACAATTCAGGACTCACAGTAAAAAATGCTATCCACCTCCAAGGAAGACCAATGGAGTCTGAATACAGATCAAAGCATACTTTTTTACTTTATTTTTGGTGTGTTCCTTCTTTTTTGGTCTATGTCTCCTTTTATAACATGACTAATATGGAAATATCTTTTCCATGACTGCACATATATACACATACCTATATCAAATTGCTTGCTATCTCAGGGAAGGGTGAGGGGAGGGAGGGAAAAGAATTAGGAACTCAAATTTTTAAAAAATGAATGCTAAAAATTGCCTTCACATTTAATTGAGAAAAAAAAATTAAAAGAAAAAAATTTAAATAGGTACAAGTCAGATTGTGGCGAGCTTTGAATGCCAGAACCAGTTTATACTTTATTTGGTAGGCAACAGGGAGCCAACAATGCTTTTCTCTGAGTAGCAGCATCTAGGAATGACTTTCAGAATCCACGGAGTCTAACCCCCTCACTTTACTAAGGCCAGAAGAGGTTGGTTGATTTAGCCAAGGTCACGCAGGTACTAACTATGTGGTAGAGCCTGGATTTGAATCCAGGCCCTCCGATTACAGCACTGTGCTTCTTCCACTGAGGAGTGAGTCATAATGGTGCATTTGGGAGGTTCCTTGGGAAATGATGCAGAGCTTGGATTGGAAAAGGGATGGACTGAAGACAGGAAGATTTTATTAGCCTGATGTGGGGAGGGGAAGTTTGAAGTGGGAGGGCCTGATTCAAGAGATATTGTGGAGGTATGAGTGAATGTAGCAGAGAGCCAGGCCTGGAGTCAGAATGACCTACATTCAGACATTTACTAGCTATGTGACCCTGGGCAAGTCACTTCACCCTGTTTGCCTCAGTTTCCTCATCTGTAAAATGCAATGGAGAAGGAAATGGCAAACCATGCCAGTATCTCTGCCAAGAAAACCCCAAATGGGGTCATGAAGGGTCAGAGACAACTAAAACAAGTTAACAACAACAATGAATGAATGAATAGGGCTTAGCAACTGACTTGGAGCAAGGGGAGAGAAAAAAGAGTCAAGGTTAGCTCAAGATTCTAAAAAGGGTTTGGTTTTACTTTTTTGGGAGGAGGATGAGTTGGATCTTGGACATGTAAATTTAAGGTACTTCTGAGACACCCAAGTGGAGATATCCATAAAAGAACTGGAAATGCCAGACCAAAACACCTGCAGAGGGCTCATAATTGGGGTAAAGTGGGAGAGAAATTAGTAAATAAGAGGGCCTAGGACAGAACCTTGAGAAACATTCACCCTTAAGGAGCCAGAAAGTGATGAGAAGTTAACAAAAAGACGGGAGAAGGAGTGGTCAGAGAAGTAGGAGACGCTGTCACGGAGAGGTGGTGTTCATAGTATAAAATACCACAGAGATGAAGAAGGATGAGGGTGGAAAAAGGCCTTCAGCTACAGAGATAATGTCGTAAGCAGTCCTGGAGAGAACTCCAACAGGTGTGGGGATGGAAACCAAACTGTAAGGATCTGAAGAATAAGGCTCATGCAGACTTCCCTTTCTAGGAGTTTGGCAGGCAGAGAGGTGAGGGTCCACAGAAGAACGTGAAACACATTTTCTGACACAGCCAATGTGTTGATTTGTTTTGCTGAACTGTACTTAATTGCTACAAGGAAGGATCCAAATGAGGGATATGGAATTCTTGAGAAATGAAAGTGATGCTTATTTTTAAAAAGCATCCACAAAACACTGGGTTTGGGGTTTTTCTGGTTTGGTTTTTGCTTTTTTTTTTTTTTTTTAAAAATGAGGCTAACACAAGGTTAGTAGAATAGGGAGGCATTTCAAGGGTTTCATTTAGTTACTGGGTCTCATAATCCTTGAAGATTCCATAAAATGTCAACCCCAATCCCCAACCAAAACACATAAGGCATACGCAGGCATTTGGTACCAATGAGGTTCCAGGAACTCAGGAATTCTGTAACAGTATTTTCATCAAAAGTGCAGTCTAACAAAAACTCTTCCTTTTGCAAAACCTCATTCAGAATAGTTTCCTTTAAAAAAAAATGGAACTGCCTTGGATAACGGGAGGGGGGGTGTATGCAGTAATTATGAGGCATATAAGTAAAGCCAATTTGAATTTGTTACAGGGGAGACCACCCCTTCTCCTTCTTGAACCAATGTCATGGCTGGCTGAGCCATCACCACCAGCAGACTCCAGATATCAGCAGTTTTGACTGGTTTTTACTGTTGTTAGATGGTGAGATGCGAATGGCCAGATAGCCAAGCACAGAATCATAAACCCTAGAATCCATCCAGTCTAACCCCTCATTCTATGGACAAAGAACAAAACACAACTCGAGGCTCAGATTAGAGATTTAACCAATGACATTCACATAGCGAAATAGCAAAGCCGTGATTCGAGCCCACTTTCTCTAGTTCCAAGTCCAGCATTATTTCCACCACACCAGGACGTAAGAAAAGAGTCCCTGATAACAGTCTAAGACAGTAGGTGGCTTTTGCTACCTTGGGCAAAGTCCTGAGCACATCAAATCCTGTGACTTGTCTGTGCTGGGACTTAGAGCAAGTGGGTGAATGTTGGCATCACGGTCTCTCCTCTCCCGCCAGGTGCCTCCAGCTTGATGGGCAATGCCTTCTCACTTGTTGGAAGCAACTGGGTGGTACAGTGGTTAGGGACCTGGACCTGGAGTCTGGATGGCCTGAGTTCAAATTTTACCTCCCACCCTTCCTAGCTGTTTGACCCTGGGCAAGTCACTTAAAACCTCTTCTGTGCTTCAGTTTGCTCATCTGTAAAACGGGGTGCCTAAGCTCCCTTCTGGCTCTCTAAATCCACCATCCCCTGACTCTTAAGGAGGCCCTCTATTTTTCTGACATGCACCACTGTGTTACTTTTTTTACTCCCCTCTGCTCCCCTCCAACCCCTCACAACCACAACAAAGTTCCTCAGGTCCTAATGTGGTTTCCTCCTCAGCCCTTCCCATTCTGATTCCAGACCTACATTCTTGTTCCCACAGTCAGCAGCCCCTCAGACATCCAGAAGGGAGTCTGGAATTTATAGAGTCCAACTACCTCTTTTTCTACTGATGAAAAAAAACAAACCATGTGGCCCAGAGAACTGAGTGGTGGTCTGAGGTCACACAGCTAATTAAAGACAGAGCTGGGATGAGATCTTGACTCTTCTGACTCCACCAAGGTAGGTGCTTCTTCCCTGCTATAGCTCACTGTTTCTCAAGTTCCTAGGCCTAGACCATAGATCCAAGATGCATTTAACTCAGGAGTCATCCCCAGTCTTTCTGATCAACAGTGGAAATCCATCAGGGAAGAAAAACCCAAGTGGCCCATTTCCCTGGAGTTCTCAAGGACTTGAGGGGACCCAAGGCTTGCATGGGCTGCCAAAAGTGAATGTAGGAAGGCCTGGTTCTGACCCCGCTCCACTGGCTTTGGTTCATGTTGGGCTGGGCTACGCTTGGGCCTTTAGCCATGAAGCTCTGTCTGTGTCTGGCCTCCACCCCTTCCAGTCAGGCAGTGCTGCGGGCCGCCAGGCAAGTGCTCTGGACAAGCACCCCCAGGTAGAGTGGACAAAGAGAGGCCCTCTTCTCCATCAGAATCGGTGGTCATCCAAGATGGAATTGAGCAATCTGAGAGGAGCTAGAGCTTCTCAGGTTTTCTGTACCAAGCCCCAGACTTCCACATCCATTGTCGCTGGCATATGCAAACACAGATTTCCTTGACTACAAGGAAGATGATTTATTGCTTTATAATAAAAAAAAAAAAGTTTGGGAAAACTTTAAAATAAGACAAACAAAAAAAAAATCCCAAGCCCACGGCACTTTTAGACCTACTAGGAAGCCTCACCTGACGGGTGCTGCAGGTGAACACGCTAAGCCACATCTTGGGCCGGAGCCCCAAGGGCAGCGCCTGCTCTCCAGCGCTCAGCTGTAGGGCCAGGCCCAGAGGGATCCCTGCATCCCATAAAGGGCCAGGACGGCTTTGGAAAGCCTAACGCCAGGGGGAGCTGCGGACCTGCAGCTGCCTCACTCAGTCTCACCCAGCCCAGCCCAGGGGCTCTGGTCCTAAACACACACACCCAGGCACACACTCACACAACTCCACAATCCAAACACACGATCCTTCCCCGCTCCCCCAAAGAATCTGGGAGTCCAACAGGCACCTCCCCCTTCATTCTCCTCCCCCACCCCCCAAACGCCATCCAGGCTGCAACTGGACCCTGCCCAGGGCTGCCCAGCGAGGCCCCACCCACCCACCCAAGTGCCCTCTAAGGAAGAGGGTCGGGATGACTTTGTCAGGGCTCTGAGGCTCCCTCTGAGCTCTCGCCTCCTGTCCCCTGACCTTCGCCCCAGTCTCAGAGCAAGGCCACTCCCTCCGTCCTGGCCAGCAGGGACACAGCAGGATGAAGTGATGGGGTTCCCACATGCACAGGATAGCAGAGACTCTGCAGGGGGCGATGCGGGGCAAGGAGAATCACAAGGGGGTTAGCACCAACAATGACAAGAGGGTCCTTCCTTCCTCACACAGCTTTCTTGGGTGATGGCCTTCTGGGTGCCACCGGGCCAGGAAGTGTGCGTCTCTGGGTCTGAGTGGAGCGGACCAGCGTTGAGAGCCTCCCCTCCGTGGGTAGACAGTCTGTGTTGGCATGGAGCAGAGGGAGCAGCTGGCCTGGCTCGTGGGCGCAGGGAGGACTGCCCCCCTCCTCAAATTTGGCAAATGAGGCGTTACCCAAAAACTCAGGAAAGGGGGGCCCACTGGGCATCCGAGGGTGGTGCCAAGCCCACAACATTGTCCTGGTCAGTCTGTTGTGGCAGACAGCCGAGAGCCAACAGACGGGGCCTCCAGGAGCACAGGGAGGGAGCTGGAAGGCGGGCAGGGAGCAGTACCAGCCTCATCAGGGACCCAGCTCTCCAGCAGCTCTGGCCAGAAGGACCAGGTGGGCTTACCCTAACAAGGAGAAGGTGATCAGTCTGGTCCCTGGTGCCACTGTCTCAGGCCCTCAGCAGCTATCCCATCCCATCCCAGCTCCTGGTGAGGGCCAGAGGGTCCTGGGGGGGCACCACAGCCTGAGCTGCAAACACAGCTTCTGATATAGAATCCCAAGAATGCCAGAGTGGACAGGGACAGAGGCAGGGTGACAGGAGACGGGTGCTCTGGGGGCCGGGCCAGGCCAGGAGGCCAAAGGCAGCCATGGTCCAGGTAGGGGAGGAGCCCGTGGAGTGAAGCGTGGGAGGGCCTACACGAAGGCCTCCTGATTGGGGGTGCCATTGATCTTCAGGAAGAGCTTCTCGTCCTCCCTCTTCTGGTCCAGCTGCCTCTGCAGCTGTCGCCGGTAGAAGATCAGGTAAAGAGGAAGGCAGAAGCCCAGCAGGCTGACCCCGAGGAGGCCCATGTTGACCTGCAGAGGCACGAGGGGGAGGCATGACTCTCCCAAAGGAGGGGATGGGGGGAGGGGGGGGCTCAGCTACCCAGGGCCTTCCTAGGCCTTCCTCCCTTCCCCTTCTGGAAGGCAGAGAGGAGAACGGAAGGAAGAAGCCAAGAAGGGAAGCCACTCTCCCAGAAGAGCCGAGCTCCACAGCCAAATCGATCAGCACAGCAAGAGGGAGTTGGATTCAAATCCCACCTTGGTTGTTTACCACATGTGACCTTGGTCAAGTCACTGGGCCTCACTTCCCTCATGTGCAAAATGAGGGAGCTGGGCTAGCAGAGGTTTCTAACCTGGGCTCTGTGAATGTGTCATCTTTAAGCCGGCAATCGCTGTATTCCAATCTACTTGGTTGCCTTTGTGGTCCTAGCTGTTTTCTGAAATGCCTTACCAAAGCTGCTTCTGAGTGGGGGACTCCCGGCACCAACACGGTTCTGAACCCTGGGCTGGAGGCCTCGCTGGGTCCTTCTAGCCCAACACTGCTGGCAAATGTTTAACACCTGGCTCTCCAGAAAAGCCTACGTGCCAATCCTTACACATTTAATCTGCATTCTTGGTACCTTCTCCATCACTTTCTTAAATCGAGACAATCTACAAATAAATCCAGCCCTGATTCATAACATCTGCCACATCCCAGGGGGTAAATGCTCACACTGAAAATTTAACAATTGGCTCTCCCAAGCTGGCATGCTGAGCTAGTCCCAGCACACTCCAGCTTCCAAGAAGCAGGACTGAGAATCCTGAGCACAGCTTTGAAGCCGGAAAAACCTCCAGCTCCCGCCCAGCAGAAACTCTTGATTTTTCTGGATGAGGAATCAGGGCTCAGTGAGGACCAATGACTTGCCCAAGGTCCCGCGTGGAGGAAGCAGCAGGGGCAGGATTTGATCCCAGCTCCTCTTGTTCCAAAAGCAAGCGCCCTATACGCTGAACCAGCCTGCAGGACTTCTCACAGTGCTGGCCTCCTCCCGCCCTTCGAGATTGGTTCCAGAGAGAGCGCTGATGTCCCATCGGCCTGGGAGGTCACAGCCTCCTGCCCCCGCGGACGCCCTAGCCACAGGGAGGGGGATGGGCTGCGAGCCTGCCTGCCCCGGCCTCCACTTACCCAAAATGGGTCTCCCTGAAGGGGCCCCATCATTGCCACGAACAAAGGCTGCTGCAGGAGAGCAAAGAGGGCACTGATCAGGGACTGAAGGCCCGTCAAGCTGCCAAACTGGGTGGAGGGGTACCTGCCCAAAACAAACACAAACCCTGTCAGGGAGGGGCACCTCACCTGACCTGGACAGAAGCCTCCCATCTGAGCTGGAACTCCATGCCCTCGTTTTACAGAAGAGGAAACTGAGGCAAACAGAGCCCCCCCTCCCCGAACATGTCTTGCTGAGTCTGCCAGGTCTGGCCTAAAGAGGGCACTGCAGGGGGCGATTCAGAGAGGGGGTGTGTGTGTGTGTGTGTGTGTGTGTGTGTGTGTGTGTGTGTGTGTGTGTGTATGTGTGCGCATGTGTGCATGTGAGTGCATTCAGAGTATTCCTGTCAGAGCTCCTGGTCCCTGGGGACATAAACAAGCAGCCCAGGTGCCAAGCGTGAGCGTGTCTGTGTGTGTGTGTGTCTCTGTGTGTGTGTGTGTGTGTATACGTGTGGGGGACTCCGGGGACTGGCAGATCCTGCTGAAAGGGATTTCATAACACTGAGACTCCCAGAAAACAAGCTGAGGAACATGTTCAAGCTACGGCCTAGTGTTCCCGGAGCCTGCGTCCCAGAAAAGGTTGTGTAATCACAGACACATGGTGAGACTGCCAGGCTCAGAGCGGAGCTCCCGGCAGCTGCCACCTCGCTGAGACTCAGCCACTGTGGTGGGCAGTCCTGGGCTCAGGCCTGCCTCGGGGGCCCACAAGCCCCCAGCAAAGAGCCCTGAAAAAGGCGAGATTTCTATCGCCCCTCACACATACACACACAAACGTATTCCCCCCACTTCACCGCCCACGTACCACCCCAACCCACCACCCACCCATACTACATACACATACCCATACTACATACACATACACACACCACACACACACACACCATTCCTCATTTCATCCACACACAAACACATACCACACTGATATATACACCATACCATACACATACATACACATACCACCCCCCAGCCATCCCTCCGCACACCATACACACACACACTCACTCTCTCTCTCTCTCTCTCTCTCTCTCTATGCCAGACACACGTCACACATATATACCCTAAGAACAGGACAAACTGGGAAAGTCACCGTACGCCCCAGAGGCCAGAGTCCCATGGTGAGGAGATAACAGCCTAAGAGTAGGGGGGCTAAGCCAGGCCTGGGTCACAGAGCGGGGGGACAATCTGGGTTCCAAAAGGATGTCGTCACTTCATGGAGAGCTACGGGGCCTATTCCAGCTGGGGCCTGACATGGCTCTGGGCTCCAGGATGCCGAGCTCTCTGGGCAGCCTGGGAGAGGGTTTCTGGGATGTACTCTGCATTCAATGCTCCACACCGCAACCAAGCTGAGTTTTTAAAACTCCCCCAGCCTCTCCTGTGGGGAAGGCCGGGTGCACGGGGCCCTCCCTGCTTACACTCCCAGGAGGCAGCCCCCCTTCTCGTGACCAGCAGCCGACCGACCCTCCCTTCCTCATTCCGGGGCCAGCCCTGAGGCAGATGGCCATGGAACGTGCTGCAGTCAGAGGCCCTGGACAGAGGTCGTGACCTGGTTTGCAGGCCTGTGCCCAAGAGCATCTAACTCTCCTTCAAAGCACCTTTCCCACGGATTTCACTGCTGGCCACTTCACTTCCTGGGGCAGAACAAACATACCTCTAAGAAAGCCAGGCCCATCTATGGGGGAAGAGCCACAGGCCAGGCCTGAAGGACTCTGGCTTCACCCTGCCCCTGCCCCCTTGGCCCCAGGGAGCACCAACTTACACAGCAGCATAGAGTCCCCCAACGGCAGAGTGGATGAAGCCCCGAACGACCGTGTGCAGGACGAAGGAGAGAACCTGGGGGAAAAGCAGGAGACGAGTGTCCACGGACAGTCTGGCCCTCTGCTCTCCTTGGACGGAGGACCGGGACACACACACAGTGGACCCGAGCAATCAGGTGGCACTTGCGAAGTGCCTACTACGTACCAGACACGGGGGGACACCAATGCAAACAGCGAAATCGCCCCCATTCAGAAGGACCTCAAACAGAACCCCCTCTCTATCCCCAAAAACGCACACACCTCTCTTCTTTCACAGACAACAGCATCCCTCTGGCCCCCCCGGCTCACATCAACGCTGCTGCCTTACTAGCTCTAGCATCTGCCCCCACCCCATTTCACAGCCTCCTGCTCTGGATGTTCGCCAGCCTCCTCACTGGCTCCCCAACCTCCAGTGTCCTCCTCTAATGCGTCCTCCACACAGCTGCCAGAGCGTCTAAAGCCCAGCTCTGACGGTTACTCCTTATTGGCTTTAGCAGGAAGTTCGGACATCTCTGTCTGGCACTGAAATCGTCTTTCCAAAGCGAGCTCACAAAATCTACATTCTCACCCAATGGCCCACTTTGGCTCCCTGAATGCAGTGCGCCCTCTCCCCTTTACGCGCCTTTGCCCAGGCTGTACCCAGAGACAGCCTCAGCACATACTCCCTCCTCGCCTCTGGCTTTCTTCAAGCCTCAGGTCCAGCACCCCCTCTTCAGAGGCCTTCCCTAATCGCCACAGTTGTTTGCCCTACCCTACCCCAATTCCTTTTTCTATAGTTTGTATCTGTTCACTTATCTGTGTACACGTTACTAGGCCTCCCCTTCCCAGATGACTTTGTATTTTATAGTACTTATCTGCATACATGTTATTTTCCCTCTAGCAGAATGTAGGCTCCTTGAGGGCAGGAACCATTTTGTTTTTTGTTGGAATTTCCAACAAGCAGCACAGTGGGTAGCGTGTAGTAGGTATTCAATATCTACTTGTTGAGTGAATGAATGACCAGGTGTGGTCCCAGGCCTGCAACTGTATGGTGATAAAATTGCTGTCTGCTAGTGACTGAACCCTGGATGGATGGACAGGGTGTGAGGACCTATGGGAAGGAAAGTGGGACTCCCTTCTCTACTCTCTGTACAGTTTGAGGCAATGGCAGGGATCCCTCCCTTCCAACTAGGAAGAGCAGCTGATCTACTCTCTGGGACAGAAGTTCTCACCCCTCAAGTGTAGAGTTCCACAGACCCCAAGTACATCCAGGCCCCTGTCCTCCAGCCACCAGGGCACCCCCAGGACAATAGGAAAAGACCTGGCTTCAAGTTCTGACTCTCACCAACACTATGAGTAACTCGGGTGAGTCAGGGAGCTTCCAGGAGCACACAAAAGTGGCAGCTGGGGCGAGTGGACAGGGACTGACCCTGGGGCCTCTGACCCATTCTAGCTATCTGGACAAGGGAGAAACTGCCTAACCTCCAAGTGCCCCCCAGGAAACCCCCCAATGTTCTAACAGATGCCTCGGGTAACAAATAATTATTGTTGCTACAATTAAGCTATCAATTTGCATCAGTGGAGGGAGTTTCTATACTGGGATCTCCCCACGATGATGAAATCACCTAGAAGACCCTCCCCCATTAAATAGAATAAAATAAAGCAAAACATAAAATACATGAACTACTTTTAAAATGAGTGTTGTGAGGATCAAATTAATCATTTAATTAAGTGCCTGCTATGTTCCAGCAGGCACTGTTCAGATGCACAGGCAAAAGGGAGAGTCCCCGCCTTCAGGACACTCACATTCCACCATGGGACGCATGCAGATGAGATCCCTGATGTGTAAGCCAAGGGCAAACTGCTAAAGACTGGACGGGGGTGAATGAGTGTGAATTAGGCCCTCTCCGGCTGCCCACCCGAGCCCTGCTCTGCCCCGATGACTGTAGACGCCTGCCCCACTGGTCAGCCCCACACTGGCCTGCTTTGCCGGCCAGCTCTTATTGACAATTGCCCAGGGGCCTTTTCCGTTTGAGAGGCTTGTTTGTGAAGGCTAAGCATTCTGAAGCTTTCTTTGCACACAGCCATCCGGCCCACATCTAGCCCAGAAGCCAGGACCTGTTCCCAGGAATGTGGGTGGTGGAGGAGCCACGCTCAGTGTGCCCTTTGTCATGCCAAACAAACAAACACAAACACACACACACACACACCCGCCCAAATGGGCAGTTTCTGCCATCACTGCCCTGCTCCTTAGGAATCACACCCTGAAGAGCTGCATCAGGAGGCAACACTCTGCCAATGATAAACGTTACCATGAGGACACAGTCAAGGAGGGGACTAGAGTGCCTGGGGCCACAGCCACCAGGGCCCAAGACATGGGGCTCGACCCCACCTGCGTCCCTGGGCCCTCTGGGGAGTGAGGGCTCTACCGCCCACTCTGCTAACTCAGGAGTTTATTCAGAACAAGACAGACCCTTCTCTTCCCATCTCCTCCCTTTGCTCTCTCAGGCGGGGTGAGGGCAGCGCCATCCTCCTGGCCCCCCAGGTCTGCCACCTCACTGTCCTCCCTGGCTCTTCACGTCATCCCTTCTTCTTCCACCCAACCAACAGGCCTCACCACCCATTCCCTTCTCTCCATGTCCTAGGCCAGAGCAGGGATTCATCCCTTCTCTCCCATGCAACCTCCTCCTAATGAAGTCTCCCCACAGCACTCCATGCTCCACTGGGTGGCCAAAGCCTAGGTCTGACGGTGTTCCTGCTCTGCTCAATAACCTGCAGGGGCTCCCTATTCCTTGTAGGGTCACAACAGACCCCTCTGATGGTGAAATCTACAACCATATCCGTCCCATCACTCGCTCTACAGTCTAAACACAAAACCAGCCTTCTTGCTGTTCTTACACACACCATTTCATCCCCAGTCTCTGGATCTTTGCATCGGCTGTCCTTCCTCACTTCCTAGAATTCCTAGTTTCCTTCCAAGCTCAGCTCAAATCCTGCCTCCTACTGGAAGTGTTTCTGATCCCCAAAGCGATCAGTGCCTCCCCGCCTTGTATTGATTTTCTATCCAGTAGGTAACAGGATGTCCCAAAAGCCCGCTCCAACCTGCACTAAGATGTTTGAGACACCCTGTATGTTCATATGTATACATATGGTCTCCCCCTCCCAGAGGGCAGGGCCTGTTTAATTTATGTCTTTGTATCTGTGGTGCCCAGTATGGGGCCTGGCAAATAGTAGACACTTAATAAATGCTTGTTGGTTGACTGGAATCCCATTGGCCCTGGACAACCATAAACTCAAAGGTAAGATACCACTTCTTAGCACCCCTCACCCCCAGCCCTGACCACCATCACTGAAATGCTCTCAGCATGAACTCTCTCTCTCTCTGTCTCTCTTTCCTTTTGATCTTTTACGACAAGGGATGGTTTGGGGAGGGGGGGACAAAGACAGATCTGGAAATTAAGGCAACGCAAAACCCAAACATACCAATAATTGTTTTTTAAAGAGTGAAACATGACCTAGTGAAAATGAGCATGATCTTTCAGGGAAGGAGATGGATATTCAATGAAATAGGGGACTTCCAAACCTTCCTGATAAAAAGACCAGAGCTCAACAGAAAATTTGATCTTCAAGTACATGATTCAAGAAAGATATAAAAAGCTAAATGGGACAGAAAGATACACTATGTTGTTAATAAGGGCAGACTGTTTACATCCCTACAAGGCAAGATGACACTTGTAACCCTTGAGAACTGTATTGTTATTATACCATATTAAAGGGGTGTACATAAAGGGGATGGGTATAAATTGACTTTGGTGTAATGATGAAAAAAAATCCAATCAAGTGGGTTAAATGGATCCAAGTAAGTGGATTAATTTGGTCTAACTAAGAAAATGTACCGAGAGAAAAGGAAAGGAGGAGGCAGACAAGGGTAAATTACATTACAGGAAAAGGCACAAAAACCTATTACAGCAGAGGGGAAGAAGGGAGGGAGATGAGCATTGTTTGAACCTTACTCTCATCAGATCTGTCAGTTAGGTATAGAAATATAACTTGCCCTATAGGCAGTAGGAAGGAAAAGGGGAAAGAAAAGGGAGGGGGGATAGAAGGAAGGAAGAAGTAGTGAGGGTAAAGGGGAAGAAAAGGGAGGTGGCTAATAGAAGGGAAGCGGGACTGAGGGAGGCGGTGGTCAAAAGCAAAACACTAGTGAGGAGGGAAAAGGAGAAAGGAGAAAGAAAAGCATAAGGGGGGGAAGGATGGAGAGAAAGATACAGTAATCATAACTGAATGTGAATGGGATGAACTCTCCCATAAAACAGAAGCGGGTAGCAGAATGGATTAAAAACCATAATCCTACAATATGTTGTTTACAGGACACATATTTGAAACAGAGGGACACACACAGGGTAAAAGGCTGGAGCAGAATATATGTTTCAGCTGAAGTAAAAAAAAGCAGGGGTAGCAATCCTGATCTCAGACAAAGCAAAAGCAAGAATAGATCTTATCAAAAGAGATAAGGAAGGAAATTACATACTAATGTTCTTAGACTTAGCCTTTCTCAGCAATGCAAGGATCTAAGACATTTCCAAAGGCCTCATGATGGAAAATGCTATCCACATCCAAAGAAAGAACTATGGAGTTTGAATGAAGATTGAAGCATATTATATGCTATTTTTTTTCTTCTGTTGTGTTTTGTTTCCTCTTTCTGATGGTTCCTCCTATTGGTTCTAATTCTTATGTACAACGTCACTAATGTGAAAATATGTTTAATAGGAATGTATATGTATAGCCTATATCAGATTGCACACCATCTTGGGGAAGGAGGTAGGGAGGAAGAGGGGAGAAAAATTTAAAAGTCAAAAGCTTATGGAAGTGATTGCTGACAAATCAAAATAAATTAATTTTTTAAAAAATGAAACATGATCAGAGCAGAGGGCTCCAATAGGAAGGGGAACATTCTGTCCAGCACCATCCCCCCTGGGGGCCAAACGCTCTCTCAAGCAGAACCAGAAAGATCCCACTCGGATGATGGAGCTCAAGGCTTGAGGAGCCCTGACCAGGCCTCTCCTGCTGCACCAACGGCCCAGGAGCAGGACCAGAACCGGGACAGGAGGACAGCAGCTGCTCACCTGCCCCCACTGCTATAGCACGGAGATTAGAGGGGCCTTTCTGGACCCTGAAAGCCCAAAGCCTGGGCAGACCCTTAGGGGTGGCGGCCTCATGCAGCAGCTGGGAGAGGCCCCATGTGGTTCCAGAACCCTCTGCCCTGTCGGGTCTGCACTTGGACCATAAACCACCTCCTCCTACCTGCAGAGGCAGATTGTGAATGAGACAGGTGATTCCGAACCCCAGCAGCAGGAGGTTGGTAAAGGCAAAAGCCCTCATGGCGTTGGTGATCTTCTGAACCTGGCGGTCTCGCTTCTTCTTCTCCCCTCTGCAGAGAAGCACAGACACAGACACAGGTGCCAGGGTGTGGGATCCTCCCGACAGAGGCTCAGTACCAGCGCTGCCTGGCTGCCCCAGTAGGAAGCAAGAACCATGCCTGCTGCAGGGCGTCCGTCCAGGCTGAGCCACTGAGGAGGACGTGCCGAGCTCTACCATCTGGCAAGGCCTCTCACACGGGAAGAGCTCAGAGAGATGGAGAGCAGCTACTTATTCGCTCGTGCTATGAACTGGGGAGTCACTGGGTCGAAGATTTACATTTGCGAGGGACCTTCGGGATCATCTGGTCTGACCTGCAGCCCATAAGGTTAAGTGACCTGCCCAAGGTCATCCAGATGGTGAGCCAGGATTCAAACCCAGGCCCTCTGACTCCAAATCCACTTCTTTTCCCACTTGCTAGCTAGCTCCCAAGGGTAGGGGATGGGAAGGGAGAGGCTGGATCATAGCGGGGGGTGGGGGGAGAGCAGAACAACGGCTCTGAATAAGGACAAGCTATGGATAATTCCAACACCTCAACCATTGGTTTTAATGGCCCCTCTGGGAGCATCACTGAACGGCTGGAATTTCCCATTTCCCCCTCAATTTTCTTCTGTCATTGGTGTGTGGAAGGGAAAGAGCTTTGAATTTGGAATCAGAGGACTCGACTTCAAATCCCAGCTCTTACCAATCATGAGACTCTGAACAAGCAGATTTGCCTCTCTGGGCCCCTGTTTTGATCTGTGAGGTCCCTTTTCACCTCTAAACCTGTAACTCTAAGGAGGAGCCACATAGCTAGTGATGAGGAAGCAGGAGAGATGGGAAGGGTCTCTGACACAGTGTGCAAGGAGGACATTCCAGGTAGGACCACTGAGTCTGCTGCAATGAGCTTCCTGCATAAGTCATCAGGCATGCCCTGATGGGGGCCTGCTCCATGGGATAGCTCCCGCTAAATAGGTTTTGCATCTTTGCCAACCCCCATCCCCCTGGCTCTCCCACAATCCACATACTGGTCACCCTCTCTCTCCTCAGCCTCTTCAGAGCCGTCGTCACATTCCTTCAGCCTCCAGTCCATGATGTATCCAATGACGGGGGCCGTCAGGAGGCAGAGTAGCTGTAGCCCACCAAAGATGGATGTGTAAAGACCCACTGGAGAGAGAGACAGACCCTATTAGAAAAGCTACCCCCTACACGGCAGCCTAGGGCCACTGGGCTGGGCAGAGTCACTGGCTGCTGGTCTGCCTCAGATTCGACTTGTCACCGCAGGGAAATCCAGATGTTTCTGGCATCAGGGCGACTGGATTTTCTACTCCCAAGCCCCTAGGAAGCCAAGATACCTACACTGCTTATGCTAGGAACCCTAGAGAGTCCATCCAGCTTTCAAACACACTACCAAATGCTTATCTTCCAGACAATGAAAAAAGCCAGTGCGTTAGGGAGGAGTAATTTCTGTCCAAATCTCAGCTTTACACTCACTGCCCATATAACCTTCAGGGAATCCCCTTCTTTCTTTCTATGAAGAATGGATTGGCCTAGGTGATTTGGGAACTCAGTTCTGGCTCCAAATCTCATGACCTCATCAGCAAAATTCTTTTTTTTTTTCAAAATCATAAATATTTATGCTCAAAAAAACAGAAAAATCCTCCCCCAGTTTTCATCGACAGGCCACAGCGTTCCTTATCAGACTCACTAGTTGGCTTTACCAAATTGCTTTATTCTTTGTGATGAGGGATGGCTCTCCTCTCCAGGGAGTGACAGGAGTGGGAGACATTTGGAAATGTAGGTGATTTAAAAACATAAGATATCAATCCAAATACTAATTGTAAAGGTAAGATCATGAACATGGTGGACTTTTCTGATGAGGAGAGGAAGGAATGGGCGGAAAGCCATCCCACTTACCTGTAGCCATCACTGCATCAAGAGAGCAAAGGGAGAAAGGCAGAAAGGGAAGGGGTTAGTACCAGAAATCTCAGAAGCTTACAAGAGAGGGGTGGAGATGGGTCAGATTAAGGCTTGGCAATGCCATACTGTGCTTCAGGACCTGACCTACAGACAGCTCCCTGCAGAAGCATCTGAGATTCATCTAATCTCCTCCAGGCCATGGCTGAGGTGCCAGCACGTATTCTGGCAAGGGGCAATTTGGTCATTTCTCCTGTTTTCCCAAGCTGCTGCTGACCCAGCCACATGAGGCCAGGCTCCTACGTCACACGTGTGCTGGTGAATCAGTACAGTGGCTAAGACTGGGAAGGGGAAGTAACAAGGGGAAGTGAGACTGGGGGCCACCTTTGTGAGAAGCAGGTTTAGTCACCCAGAAATGAGAGGCAGGGGACAGACAAGGAGGGAGAAGAGGAAGCAGCTCTGGGAGCTCTAAAAGCAAGGCATCTCCCACGGCAGGCCTTCCTCAAGCAGAAAGGACCTGCGCACAGCCTCACTCATAAAGTGAAAAGCTTGGACGTGGGAGTCAGAAGCCATGGGCTCTAGTCCAGGCACTGCCCCTAGCAAGCTGTGTGACCTCAGGCAAACCCTCTGACCCTTCCCTTAAGGGCTCTGAGAGGCTCAGGCCAGATGAGCTCCAAGGCCTTTTCAGATCTAAGAAAATAGAAACCTGTGCATCCCTTAAAATGCCCGGTCCAACCGCCCTCTGCAGCGGAGAGCGCGGTTCCAGCAGTTTGGAGCAATTAAGGCAATGGGCAAGACTCCAGGATCACAGCTTTAGAGCCACAAGGGACCAGAGAACGTCGTTTCTAAGGTGAGAAAACAGAGGCCTGGGCAGGTAAAGTGATCTGTCCAGGGTCATACAGCTAGCAAGCAGCTGGGGCAGGATTTGAACACGAGTCTTCCTAATGCCAGGCCCAGCACTCTCACCACTGTGCCACCTGGCTGCCTCTACCATGTAGCGTCCTAACAAGGAGGTTGCCACAGAACCTTCCTGCACACGCCCATCTACCACATTTAGTGTTGCCCCGGATTCTGTCCACCGGGATTTAATGAAGAGGATGCCTCTGGACAGCTGCGGCAGACCTCACGCACTGTTTTGTGAAAGCAGCCTTAGGGTCTGCACATTTAGTTCTGTAAACTTCAGCTAACAAGTCCCAACTGGACCTCAGCCTCATCTTGTTACCCAGTTCAGGACCTTCGCACACAGGGCAAACAGCAGCTGCAGCTACTCAGCAATTCCCAGACTTTGGCCAAGTGATCCTAGGATGGGCAGGCCCTCAGAACACAAGGGCAGGCCCTCAGGACACAAGGCCAGGCCAGAGCTACCAGACCTGTGAGGGAGATCTCCCTCCGGAAGCTCCCACCTCCTGCTTCCTTAGGGACTCTCAGTGCTGAAGTGCGATTTGGCCCCTCTGCTACGTACTAGGCCCACTGGCTGCTTTTCTGCTGGCCTCTGATAAACCATCTACCCTTTCCCTACTGGAAGGAAGAGAGAAGGGGCAGGGGGAGAAGGCAGAGAGACACAGAGAGAGACGAGACAGAGACAGGCAGAGAGTGGAAAAAAAGTGAGAGAAAGAAAAAAGAAGGGGAGAGAGAAAACAAGAGAGGGGAAGAAAGAGAAAGGAAGAGAGATAGCAAAAATGTCCCACTTGTACCTCTCCTCAGCACACTTCCCTGATTCTAGGCAGGACAGAACCTGGTAGGCTGGGTTTGATGAGCCGGACTCACTGACTTGATTTCAACCACTCAATGCCCTGCTGGCTGGGGGCACCAGCAAGGATTCCAGGTGGTCAGCAGAGCGTCAGGAGGTGCCCCTCCCACCCCTGCCTCGGTGGGGGGGGGAGTCAGCTGATAGGGCATCACCCCCAGGCAGGTGGGGGCCGGGAGAGTGGGTGCCAGCGACGTTTCCCTGTGGCCCACCTGCCTCCTGGCTGCCGCTGGAGAGGAACTCGAGGATGCTGTTCATGGCGCCCATGTAGAAGATGAGACGGAGCTGAGTGACGCACATGGTGACCAGGCTGAGCAGGAGGATGGGGCTGAACACGCTGTGTATGAAGGAGGGGGCTGCTGGGGCGAAGCACAGACAAGTCAGACAGGAGGGTCGACACATGCCCAGGCACCCAGGAGCACAGGGGGGCCGCCTCCTCTCCTTGGGAGGAGGGATCGTCTGTGGTTTCTATGTCCTGCACACAGAAGGAGCTTCATAGATGCTTGCTGGACCAGCTTCTACAGCTAAAGTTAGAGCTCCAGGGCCTTAAAGAAATGGGGCTTGGGGGCCAGGAAGGGCCTTGATGGATGCCAGCTACCCTGCTCAGAGGAAAGGCAGGAACAAGGCCGGGTGACCATAATGGGCCTGCGGAGGGGATCTGTAGATCCATCTCCAGGAAACCCCGAGGCTTCACCCACACAGGGACCTCCCAGCAGGTACACTCCCTCCATGCATCCAGATAGGCCCCTCATCTGTCCCAGCATTTCGGGGGCTGCCTGGTCACACTCAGAGGGAGGACTCAGCTCCCAAGCCGGCGCTCTGACCGCTACACTACCCTGCCTCTTTTGCAGTGGGAGTCAGGAGCCCCAATTCTAGCTCCGTGTGTCCTTGAGCACTCCCTGGCCCCCCCTGGGCCCCGGCGCCTCTGCTCTCCCGTCTGCCCGGGAGGCCAGGACCTCAGTACCTGTGCTATCCGGCTGACACTTCACCTCCAGGTCGATGGTGGACAGACAAAGCTTGTTGCCCTCCTGCAGGGCCGCCTGCTCCTTGGGCTGCTTCATGGAGCTGCCCACACTGAGGCGCCGGCCCACCGTGGTCACCTGCTTGTAGAACTGCTTCCCGGTGATCTTGTGGTCAAAGCCCAGCCAGCTGAACTTGATCTTCACCCTGTGCAAGGTGTAGGGGGAGGGTCAGCCCTGACACAGGCCTCCTGCTGCGTCTCGGCCCACCATCCGCCACCCACAGGCCCCTCCAGCGCCACTCACGTGTAGTCCATGTCCTCTGGGCCCGGGAAAGGCTCCAGGGGCCAGTTCAAGAAGCAGTTCAGGAAAACAAGCCCAGCACAGCCGGCCCAGACAACCAGGATGATGATGAAGGAGACCCCGAAGTCATAGATCACCTGGGAGAAACATCACAGCCACAGTGTGGTATGGTGGGTAATGTGCTGGCCTTGAAATCAGCAAGACCTGGGTTCAAATCCCACCTCTGACACTGACCAGCCAAGTGACAACTCTCAGCCACAATGTCCCCATCTGTAAAATGGGGGGCTCAGACTAGATGCCTCCGGACCTAGACCTATGATCCCGCAACCAGGGCAGAGAAAGACGCTGCAGGCCTCAGGGCAGACAAAGGAAGACAGAAGGAGAGGCAGGCGCCTGGTCACCAGATAGCAGAGCCGGACCAGCCACACCACTGGACAGGAGCCCCACCTCTGTGGCCAGAGCCTGGGGTGCAAACCCTGCCCTGCGGCCAATGGCCCGAGCGACTGCTGGGGCTAGACACCGCTCTTTCCGAACCTCGGTGTCCTCCTCCGTAATTGCAGGGGTTTGGGACCGTGACACTAGCGTCTCTGGCCCCTGAGCAGGAGCCCCTAGAACCCAGAGGGGTGGGGGTACTTTCTGTCCCACCAGGTTCGCCTGGACCAGGCTGCTGGGCTCTGGACTGGGGCATGCCCTCCTCTGGGACCGCTGGGATTCCAAAGCACCGGGACTCAGTGGAGCTAGGAGCAGGAGGCGGGGAGGGGCTCAAGGCCTAGGAAGCCCCCTTCTTCCCACCACGGCCTCCCCAGAGGGTGGGATCTGGGTGGCTTCTGCCAAGGAAGAAGGAACAGAGGTGGAGAGGGGGCCCGGGAGGCACCCCAAGGAGACACCCTGCAGTCTGATGCTCATTTGGGGTTTTTCTGCTCCCTGACTTGGTATGATTGAGAAACATTCAAATTGCTGCTCATGGGGGAAACAGCTGGACCAACTTGGCAGAGGACTCCCGTGGCGCCAGATCCGGAGCTGGGACTTTACACCAACATTAGGCCCAGAGGCCCTCAGAAGCACAGCAAAGCAAAGGCACCCAGCAGCCAGGCCTCCCACTGCTCACCTTGCCCTGCACACTTGCTGTGCTGGTCACGGAGAAAGAGAAGGCCTCAAATCCTGACTCTTCACACTTAAAGCTGTGTGACCCTGGCTAGGTCACTAGACTTCCCCGAGCCTCAGTTTTCTCCTCTATAAAATGGGGATAACACCCCCAACACCTGCCTCAGAAGGCTATGGTGAGGCTCAGGGCAGCTGGCAAACTTTATAGGAACATCAGTCATGCCTCGTCTGTTCCCAGGTGTGTCCTGCTGGACCAGGGCCAGCCCGCCCAAGGCCTGCTGTTATTTATTTCCTTCTGCAGGGGCCACAGGAGGGGAGCCAAGAGCACACATGCTTGGGCACACTCCCTGCCACAACCCACGCTCCCACAGATCCCAGAGTGAAGCCTCACCTTGACTGCTGGAAAAGTCACTGCAGAAGAGGCATAAGAGCCGATCATCAGAGCGATGAACGTGGACCGAAGGTCACCGAACATGTTGGGCAGCTGGAAAACAGAAGTCAAGCCATGATTAGGAGGCAAAACAGCCAGAAGGCAGAGAGAAGGAGGACCTCCTCGGGAAGGGCCCAGGCACCATCTCTCACCCCCGTCTGAGGCCTGGACCTCAACCGCTACAGACCCGAGGACAGAGGGGCAGCGTGAATGCCCTGAGAGAATCACAGAGGACAAGGAAGCAGGACACTGGGGTTCCTGCTGGTATTCCTTAACTTCTCTGGGCCTCGGTTTCTTCCTCTGGAAAACAGGGCACAGTGGTCCTTTGGCACCGCCTACCTCACAGGCCTGCTGCAAGGAAAACTCTTTGTAGACCCAACTGTGCTGCAGCCATCTTCCCTGTCCCAGATGCAGCTAACCCAAGAGACGGCTCGCCGTTTGTGGGCTAAAAGCCATTCCTGCCCAGACTCAGGCAGTTGGGGCCGACGGGCTCTCAAGGCCACGTGCTGAGCTCTCCCCGCTATGTGCCAGCGAGGCAGGACCTTGGGACCTAGGCCGTTACCAAGGCAAACCAAGAACTCTTAAGTACACCAGCGTGGGGCTGGAGGCCTCTCTTCGAAGGGAGCCAGCTCATAAGAAAGCATTTATTTGGGAACTATAAGGCAGGATAGAGCAATACACGGAAGGGCGAGGAGGAAGGGCAATTAATATGGACAGTGTAATTATAATGACCAAACTTGGCCCCAGGAGAGGAGAGAAGGTATCCCTTCCCCTCTTCTTGTCACAGCAGGAGCCCAGCGGGCCACTTCCTGCTCCATCAGGTTCACCTGGACTTGGCTGTTGGGCTCCGGGGTGGGGGCTCGCCCTACTCTGGGAGACTCCCACCCAGCTGCCCAACTAGGAGGTGGGCGTCAGGCCTGGGCAACTCCCCTTTCCACTCTCCCTCCCTCCCCATCTACCCACATTCTCCTCTCCTGTCCCAGGTGGGAGGGTTTTTGTAGCTCCCGTCCAGAGGACAGAGGAAAAGCTTCCCAAGCCAAGGTGAGGTGTGGAATACTGCATCCGCTGTCCCACTCAGCTGATGTGCCCTTAGATTTGCTGAACTGCTTCCCCCTCCACCCACTCTTGTTCTTTTTCATTCTTTGTTACAAGAGATGGTTCACTGGGAAGCAATTGGAGAGATATTTGGAAATAAAGATATCATAAAAACAAAAGACAGTATTAAAATTGTTTTAAAGATGACAGGGATAAGGCCTAGAGCTAGGATTTCACTTGTCCAGGGAACTCTCTGATGAAGAAACTCACTCTGCTAATAGAGGCCTGTTCTTTCTCGACCTTAAAAGAGACGTCTGGAGGGTGGAACCAAGATGGCGGAGTAAAAGTTTCTTGCTTGAGCTCTCCCCTAAACCCCTCCCCTCCAAATACCTGTAAAAAATGGCTCTAAACAAATTCTAGAGCAGCAGAACCCACAAAAAGAGTGAAACAAATTTCCAGCCCAAGACAACCTGGATGGTTGACAGGAAAGGTCTATCATACCAGGCTGGGAGAGGAGCACAGTTCAGCCTGGGCCCCGCAGGCAAAGACCAGGTCTCCTGAAAAAAATTCCCAAAGGAAAACTCCTAGGAATATTGTAGCCAAGTTCCAGAGTTCCCATGTCAAGGAGAAAATATTGCAAGCATCCAGAAAGAAACAATTCAAGTATTTTGGAAACATAATCAGGATAACACAAGATTTAGCAACTTCTACATTAAGGAACCAGAGGGCTTGGAATATGATATTCCAGAGGGGAAAGGAAATAGGATTACAACCAAGAATTACCCACCCAGCAAAACTGAGTATAATCCTTCTGGGGAAAAAAAATGGGCATTCAGTAAAATGGACGACTTGAAGCATTCCTGATGAAAAGACTAGAGCTGAATAGAAAATTCGACTTTCAAATACAAGACTCAACAAAAGCATGAAAAGGTAAACAGGAAAGAGAAACCATAAGGGACTTATGAACATTCCTACATGGAAAGATGATATTTGTAACTCATGAGACCTTTGTCAGTATTAGGGTAGTTGTAGGAGAAAAAAATATATATGTATATATAGATAGATAGACAGATAGAGGGCACAGGGTGAGTTGAAGATGAAGGGGTGAACTCCTCCAGTCACCCCAAACTACTTGTCCACTCCTAGATCCTTCCCACAGTCTTTCTGTATATAAAGTCCATCTTGTCTCCATTAAAGTGCTTAGATTCTATAATGTAGCCACTGCTCAGATTCTTACAATCTAGCCAATAGCTTACTAATGTTCAGACTCTTTAAAAGTCTGCCCAATATGACAGATGTTCTAATAAACCCTGTCTTTGGCTGAAGAAAAAAAAAAGATGATGAAGAATTGATATCTAAAAAATAAAATTAAGAGGTGAGAGAGGATTATACTGGGAGAAGGAGAAAGGGAGAGGTTGAATGGGGTATATTATCTCACATAAAACAGACAAGAAAAAGCTTTTACAGTAGAAGGGAAGTGGGGGGGAGGTGAGAGGGAATGAGTGAATCTTATTCTCATTGGATTTGACTTAAGGAGGGAATAACATACACATTCAATTGGGTATGAAAAGCTATCTTACCCTACAGGACAATAGGGGGGAAGGGGTTAAGAGAACAGGGGGGATGAGAGAGGGGAGGGCAAATTAGAGGAGGGGATAATCGGAAGTAAACACTTCTGAGGAGGGACAGAGTGAAAAGAGAGAATAGAACAAATGGGGGCAGGATAGGATGAAGGGAAATATAGTTAGTTTTTTACAACATGACTACTATGGAAGTGTTTTGCATGACTACACATGTATAACCTGTACTGAGTTGCTTGCCTTCTCAATGAGGGTGTGTGGGTAGGGAGGAAGGGAGAAAATTTGGAACCCAAAGTTTTAAAAACAAATGTTAAAAACTGTTTTCACATGCAACTGGGAAATAAGATATACACGCAATGTACAGAAATCTATCCTGCCCTACAGGAAAATAGAAGGGGAAAGGGATAAGAGAAGGTGGAGGAGATAGAAGGAAGAACAGATTAGGGGAAGGGGTATTCAGAGTGCATGCTATCTTGGAGTGGGGGGTGGGATAAGATGGGGAGAAAATCTGGAACTCAAAATCTTGTGGAAGTGAATGTTGAAAACTAAAAAGAAATAAATTAATAGAAAAAAAAAGAAAGCCAATTGTTAAAATTTCAGTGTGAGCATCCATACCTCAGAAATTGCCAAACAGTACAAATCAGGGCTTTTTGTATTTTTTGTATAATTCTATTGAGTTTAAAAAGTGATGGAGAAAATCTTGATGCTGATTAAACTTAAAAGTATGTCATATGTGCATCTTTGAAAGTCAATTGTTAAACATTTACCTGAATACTGATACTTATATAACAACCAGAAATGCACTTTTGAGATTTTCACACTAAAATGGCAAAATGACAGAAAATCAAAAATCATTCATTTTCTTAGTAAAAATGGGAAAGTATAATCACTCATGTAAAAGAACACAGAACAAGATACCTGAATCTAACCAAAAGCTTAACCCAATAAATTTGGAAGAAGAGATAAGCCAAAAAGTATATACTCTCCTTAACCCTGAAGTGTAAGGAGTATCTTACAAAGATTTCAAAAGGCAGGAAAGCTTTTTTAGGGTAAGGTAGAATAAGCCATTTGTAAAGTGTGCTTGGTTGTATGAGTGGAAGTGGGAGGAAATGGCTGCAAGGGAAAACAGTGAAACCCATAAATTTACTGTAATCGTGTTAAAGATCTGAGTAGAATCCTACCGTAAATAGAGCCATGTGACTTGAGTTTCTCAACATCATGCTTCCTGCCTGAAAAGAGCTGGTTTCAAAGACACTGGAAACCATTTCGCACACATTCACCTGCTTTGTGAGATGTTGAGGCATTGGGTTTGTCCTTCTATCTTGACTCAACAGCTATAGAACAACTGATAATGTGCTTCGGTTAAAAAAAATAATCTCTCACCATAGGTACCTTACATGGAAAAAAAAATCTGGACACAAAAATGCAGAAAATACTAAACTACTACCCAAATGTTCCTAAAAATAAAAGAGAGAGAGACGCGTGGAATGCTGAGAAGCTGTTGGTCAACAAGCATTGAAGCCCCTACTATGTGTCCCCTACTGGGGATACAAAGAAAGGCCCCCAGGATATGTCAGAGACAGGACTTGAACCCAGAACTTCCTGGGAGAAGGAAAAGACAGAGATGTACAAAAATATTTGTAGAAGCATTTTTTTTTTTGTACCAAAGAAATGGAAACTAAGTGGGTGCCCATCGATTCAGGAACAGTTCAAGTAGCAAGGGAATATTACTGTGCGGTAAGAAACAACAAAAGGATGGATTCCAAGAAAACTGCAAAGGCTTCTATGAACTGAGGCAGAGGGACGTGAGAATAACCAGGAAGACAACTGATATGGTGATCACAGGAAGAGAAAGGAAAACGACTCTGAAAGACTGCATTGCTCATTGATGCAAGGACCATGCGTGCCTCCCACCTCCTGGCTGAGGGCCTCGGGGTGCAGAATGAGACGCGTTTTCAGAGGTGGCCAATAGGTGGAAGGGTTTTCTTTGACATACTTATCTGCTTGAAGGGAGGATCTCCGTTTGAGGGGAAGTGAGTTAATGGGAAGTGAAAGAGAGGGGAAAACAAGAAACACACAGAAATAAAACGTTTTAAAAAACACAATGAAGAAAAAAAAGTTCTGAAAGGGCAACGTCATTACTACCTTACTAAATCTGATGCACACTTTTAAAGGACAAATCGTAAATCACAGCTTCCTGTAATCTTTTTTTATTCTTTGCATATTGGAATATTTGTATTTGTTGCTGATCATGTTCAAATAAAAAATCATTTTATTAAAAGTGGGGAAGGGCCTCAAATTTGGAAAAATGGGGAACTACCTGCCAAGACCACAGAAAAAAAACTGCTTTCAATTTTGGCCCAACAGAAGACCTTGGAGACAGCAATGTCAGCATTTCACAATGCCACCAAGGTTTCCTGAAGATCATGGTCAGCTTCC